CCCGAGTTTAGCCCAGTGAGGGCTCCTGTCCCCGAGTTTAGCCCAGTGAAGGCTCCAGTCCCCGTGTTTAGCCCAGAGAAGGCTCCAGTTCTCATGTTGAGCCCAAGGAGGGCTCCAGTCCCCAAGTCAAGCCCAGGGAGGGCCACTGTTCCAGAGTTAGGCCTACGGAGGGCCTCTAAAGACGATATTCTCCCCAAGGATTTTTTTTGGGGGGTAGTATGGGTCCATCCGTAGTGGCCGTCCTAAGTTCCCAGCTGTAGTGGCCGGGCCGAGTGGCGAGGCCAAGGCCACGGAGGCTGTCCAGCCATGGCCTCCTGAACTGTCTGATCCACCGCGGCCTCCCGAATCCACGCCTTTGCGTCGGTCGCTGGCCCCATCTGCTCCGACTAGGACCTCCGGATCCTCCCCGTCGCCCTGGCTCATCGGCTCTCCACCTCGGGCTCCTCCACTACCTTCTCCGCCGCCGTTGGTCAGCCCCCTAGAGTCGGCGGCCATTCCTCCTCCATGGCTCCTCCCTCCATCGGCTCCACTGTGGGCCGCCGTTATGGCTGTGGCCTGGGTCCTGCTTGGCTCCTCCTGCTCCAAATTCCTCCTGTTTCCTCCCTGGCTTCTCCCTCCATCGTCACCTCCCTGGACTCTGTCTACCGGCCCCCTCCCAGGTGTCCGTCCTCCTCCTGAGCCTCCTCCCAAGTTCCCACTCTTGCCCCCCCTCTGTTGTTCTTCAGCGCGAGGCCTTCCGGGAGGGGGCGTAATGTCAGGATTCTGGACTGTCCATCGTGTTTTACCTCTGTCTTAGTTCCCGTTTTCCTTTTTTGGTCATGTTTTCTGTTCTTGTTTAGTGATTGATTCCGCTCACCTGTGTTTGTAATTATCCTGTGTTTGTAAGTTCCTGTCTGTTCCTTAGTTCTTCGTCGAGTCTACTTGTTGAATGTCTTCCCTGTGCTCTGTGTCTTCCCGTTGGATTATTAAAGACTCTCATTTTGGGAAATCTCCTCGTTTCCTCGCTCCCTTGCTCCAGCGTATTGTGACAGAACAACTGAATGGGTTGAGGTGTTCAAGGAAGTAGTTCAAACCAATATGATAAATCTGTCATGTTGACTCATCTCATGCTGTTCACGTCTGTAAGTAAAGCTCCGTAAAAAAATTCATAAAAATAGTGATTTGTGTGCACTATTCCAATTCTTTAAATATCTTTATTCTTTATATGATTTTTTGTTTTGTGTGACAAACAGGCCCAAAGTTATCATAGCGTAATAGACCTTAGATGCCATTTAGAATTTTACGCGGACGGATGAAACTAAGGCTGAGAAGGATATAGTTCATAGTTGTTTATGGAGTTTTGTCTACTCAAATCTTTTCTTTACAAAAATACATTTTGTCAGCTGAACAATCAGTATGTTACAACAGCACAATCCACTGAAGGCACTGTACATCTAACATTCACAGCTTTGTTTTATTAGTGTCAAAAATTAAATATGGCGCTATCCCGACCAGCATTGGGGGGTAATGCATTACAAGTACTAGTGCAAGTTTTGTAGTCAGAATACTTTTTTCAAGTAGCTAGTAAAGCAATGCCTTGCTTTTAAATTTACAGGGAAACATCTGAGATATGCAAGTTACTTTGTTTTCCCATTGATTGACTGACAGCTCTCCTGTCCCCTCATGTTGAAAGAAATCAGGACTAAGTGCAGAGGCAGAGGCACTTCCTTCAGACTGAGGTTTATTCATTTCACTCTTGGAGTCAGGGCCTTTACAGTTGCCAAAAATATAACGTTTGGGGTTTTAGCTATTAAAAACAAATAAGCAAGCCCAGCCTAGGTGACAAAACCCTTTAATGCAAAAGTAACGTGATGCATTACTTTCCATAAAAAGTAACTAGTAATGCAATTAGTTACTTTTTTATGGAGTAATGCAATATTGTGATGAATTAGGGCTACTTTAAGGGGGTCATATGATGCGATTTCAAGTTTTCCTTTCTCTTTGTTCGCCAATACTGATCCTGACTTTTATCCATATTTTATCCCAAAACTTTTATCCATCTGAACTTGTGCACACACGATTTCAGAACTTTAATTTTCTTTTTTATTCCTCACACAAAGCTATGTGGAAATAGAGTACTGACTTAGCTTGACTGATGTGCTGGATTAGAGTTGTGTTAGGAAATGCGCATACGGGTTGCACACATGGGTGAGTTAACTTGACCAAGCATTCATTTGTGAGTGAATTATTGATTAATGTGGGTAAGGAAACAATGTTACTGCTGTGTTAAAATGAGTCATGAGGCAGAGTGTAATTATAGCGACGTAATAAAACAAAGTTGTATCTCATATTTCATCCGCATTCACATGCCCTGATACCTGATACGTCATCAAGCCCTTCCCGCTCTTTAAGTCTGGAGCTCTTCCAGCAAAGCAGAGCAAGTGAAAACACACTGGAGGTGAGAAGGATTCATCTTATCAGTATACAAAAATGTTTCAGTGGAAAGATGATGAAACCATTGTTTACACATTTAACTCCACTGCAATTATTAACTGATTAGATGCAGTGTGTGTGTGGTCTCCCCAAGGCTTGATTTTATATAAATATTTTCATTTCGTTGCAGAATGAAAATGAATCTTTTAGGCAATATTGTTTTTATGTAGGCTACAGTATGTATAGAAAATGGAACATATTTATATTTCATTACTAGTAATTATTTTCTTCTCCCTCCTAGTATTATGCGATCGTTTACAAAACAGGTCCTTGTGTTGTCACTGATGTGAATATATATATATATATATATATTTTTTTTTTTCCATTTTATTTCATTCTATCATTTAAAGAAAATAAGAGCTTACTAACTAATGATACGTGAATTTCTATAGACAAAATCATTTTGGGGGAATGGGGACAGTGTGTATGTTTCCAAACACTTTTGACTCATCAGTCTCATGGATGCTGTTTTCCGCCCGTGTCTTTTGGATAGTTGAGTCATGAACAGTGACCTTTACTGATGCAAAAGATGGCTATGGTTCCTTCTATCCTGACGTTTGTTGTTTCCTGAGTCATTGCTGTACTCTTGGAGGAATTTTGTAAGGTTGGCTACCTCTGGGAAAGTTCACTACTGTGTTGAATTTGGACATTATGTCTCTGACTCTGGTTTTTTTTTTTTTTTTCCATTTTATTTCATTCTATCATTTAAAGAAAATAAGAGCTTACTAACTAATGATACGTGAATTTCTATAGACAAAATCATTTTGGGGGAATGGGGACAGTGTGTATGTTTCCAAACACTTTTGACTCATCAGTCTCATGGATGCTGTTTTCCGCCCGTGTCTTTTGGATAGTTGAGTCATGAACAGTGACCTTTACTGATGCAAAAGATGGCTATGGTTCCTTCTATCCTGACGTTTGTTGTTTCCTGAGTCATTGCTGTACTCTTGGAGGAATTTTGTAAGGTTGGCTACCTCTGGGAAAGTTCACTACTGTGTTGAATTTGGACATTATGTCTCTGACTCTGGTTCTTTGGAGACCAAAAGCATTTGATTTTGGAACCCAGACTGATCCTCATCCTTTCTGGAATTTCTTTCAGCTTCGGCATTGTGTGTTACTTGGGAAAGACCTTTTAACCAACTTGAACCCCATTAGATTTGGGAATTAGTAACTGTTATTTCATTAGATAACATTTTTGCTTCGATAAAAAACATCATTTAAAAACTGTTTCATGTTTACCTATAGGTTGCCTTTCTTGACACTTTCATTTCTGAAACAATTTTTCACAGCACTATATAGAGAGTGAAAGAAAGAGAGGCATCTAAGCCACAATTCAGTACAATGCAAGTGAATTAACAAATATAATTTACATACATTATTGTATATTTGTAAACAACTTAAATGACTGGAGTTTGCACTTTTATTATTTTGAAGGGTGAAATCATGGATTTTTCTCGGTTGACTTTAAAAACTTTTGGAAATACTTTTGTGGTGTTGTCAACTGTGTTATCTGATGGCAGTATTAAAATAATACAAAGGAAAACGGAGCTGTTTGGCAGCACAAACGCTTTGTTTTGAACTGAACCAGTCTTCAAAATTCAGAGGAGCTTGACTAAGTGCTTGAGAATGTCATCAGTTGTCTTTGGTAACAGATTTCTTATATCTAATATATGCTGAACGGCACAACAAAGTTAAGGACATTTCCCTTTGACATTTTCTTTTTTGAACTACTTCTACTATTTCAATGAGTCATCAGAGATTTCACTACTTCTGTGTTGCTGCAATGGTTCTCTTAAAAGGAACTGCGAGACGACACACGCAATAAAACTAACGCTTAACTGAAGTTTTCTGAACTGCTGCAACAAACCAATCACCTGACAATGTAATTTCAATATACTAAACACATTTTCTTTCTGGGTTAAGTTGAAAGCATGTATATTTGGGTTCCTAGTATACTCGGCGCCGGGGCCTTTCTTCATCATTTTAGAACAGAATGAAATAGCATTAATCAGAATTATATATATTTTATGTTTTACTGTTCAAGTTTTATACATTTGCAAATGCATAATTGTGAATGTATCCCTCAGGAACATGTAATTCTGCTTGAGCTGTAGTAATATTTCTATTAACCCTATAAATCCTGACATATGCAATAACAATTTTTTAATAGAACAGCTCACCTTTATTTATATAGCGCTTTATACAACACAGATTGTGTCAATGCAGCTTTACAGTGTTAAACAGGAAAAACGTCTGCTGATAATGCAAGGGAACATAAAAAAATTCAGTTTTATCCAGAGGCCCAAAAACAGCAACAAAAAAAAAAATTCTGATGGCTTGTAATCTAAATCAGTGAGATCTTTCTAACAGTATAGCAGATACTTACATAAAATGATATAAATATCAGATGTCACACTATATCTCTCATTAATATGTCTTAGTAAGATATTTAAATGCTTAGTTTTTTTTTATCAAATCTCTGTAGTTTCAACACATAATGCAATTGTGCAATTTATGATGGATCATAAAAAATGTATGTTAAAATTATTTAAATGTATGATAAATAATTAAACCTAAGTTGTTCAGTAAGTGTTCAACCTGAAATATTATTAACAATATAAAAGTTATATAGAAGGAATGTAGTAACTTGTGCAACATGTTTGATTGTGCTGATAATTTAGAAGCTTGTGCATATGTCTGATACAATAAGCTTTATTAGGTAAAGACAATCCTTTATAGCTTCAAAATCCTTAAAGTTTTTTGATCTCAGTTGACATATGGCAGCACTACTTGTACTGTTTATAAATTCCTTTATCAAGTGAAACTTCAATAGAAAATAGCCATTTAAAGAGAGAGAGAGAGAGTTCCTTGGAAGAGAAGAATAGTAAGTAATTGCGCAATAAACTCTTGCATGTCGTGTGGGAGTGTCAGTCTTTAAAAGCGAGAGTGCAGGCCGCTGTTAGACGCACAACCGAGTGACTATACAGCAGACAGTCTCTTGATACCTTCACTGGCATTGCTCTGCACAATACTGACTCAGAATAATGAAGTTCAGCGCATCTGCCTTCATGCTTCTGATCTGCACAGCTGCACTGCTGTCCACAACAGAGGGTAAGCAGACTAACTTTCATTCATCATGCTTTCTGATTTTTGATTTGATTGATTTATTTATTCTTTTGATGAATCTTTCGAGCTAATCTCACAGCAACTCTCTCTGTGTTACCGCAGGTAGACCTAAACCCATTAATCTACGCTGTGAGTGCATTAAAACATATGCAGAGCCAGCAATCCCTACTGAAAAAATACAGTCATTGAGGGTGATTCCTGCTGGACCACAATGCAAAAATGAGGAGATCATGTGAGTGTGAAACTTACCAAAGCAGCTCTTCAAATACAGACACATAATGTGCACTACCAATCAAAACCTTCTTTATTATTGCTTCTTCAAAAAAGTTAGAAATCCCTAAAACGAAATATGTGTAACTATTAAAAATCACAGACACAAGTATTGAAACTTGTCTCATGGTGCATCCTGGTATACTTTTAAACATCATTTCAGGAGTTCACTTGTGTGGTGATGCTTTTCTTTCACCAAATTCAATGAATTTTTCAGATCTTTAAGATCATGAGAGTGTGCAAACATTTGATGCTTCATGGAGGGTTCACCTAAGGAATGAAATTATATATTTTTTTTTTATCTCCAACATTGGAGATGTTTAGCAGAATGCCAGAGTTGTTCCTTTAAAAAAAAAAAAGTATAAATAAAATAAAAGTCTTGCTTTGAACATTTTCCTTGGCAGTCGTAATCACCATTGAGTTTTAATGTTTGGAAGAGATAGGCTTAGACGATTCTGCTAAGTAACTTATTTTATGTTCCTCGAAAGAAAGTAAGTCATACAAATTTAGCAACACTTGAGCGCAGGTAGATGATGACTGAATGTCTCTTTTTGGTCGAACGGTTCAGTTCAATGAAGTCAGAATGTGTCTCATGTGTATCATTTTATTTTTTTTTATCTCCAACATTGGAGATGTTTAGCAGAATGCCAGAGTTGTTCCTTTAAAAAAAAAAAAAAAGTATAAATAAAATAAAAGTCTTGCTTTGAACATTTTCCTTGGCAGTCGTAATCACCATTGAGTTTTAATGTTTGGAAGAGATAGGCTTAGACGATTCTGCTAAGTAACTTATTTTATGTTCCTCGAAAGAAAGTAAGTCATACAAATTTAGCAACACTTGAGCGCAGGTAGATGATGACTGAATGTCTCTTTTTGGTCGAACGGTTCAGTTCAATGAAGTCAGAATGTGTCTCATGTGTATCATTTTATGCAATAGTAAAGAGTCATTCTATCGATTTTAAAGAATTACACATTTGTTCCTTACAGTGCCACAATGAAGAAAGGAAAGATGTGTCTCAGTCCTGCAAAAGACTGGGTGATTTCTCTCAAAGAAAAGTAAGTTCTTGCCTATGATAACTCTAATTGTCCTTCTCAAAGTTATTCATTAGCATGATTTTACTTCACTTATATTAATAATAATAATTAATGCTTTTAAATTCGGACAATGAGGCACTTTGGTGCATCCTTCAAACACTAACATGTGTCTCTTCATGTTTGCAGAATCAACAAGAAGGTCAAGAGCCAACAGTGAATGAATATCACCGTTCAAAGAGCGACTGAAGAAACTGGTTCAACTATTGCTACTGTAATATAGATTTTTTTATTTTGTCATCTCAGGGTGAAAAATGAAGTATTGAATGTGAAAATGTGTTTTCACTACTACCTGTTTTATTAAAGATGAACTTTACTGTAACCTTGCCTGACCTTCATTATATGTTATTAAATTATATTTATTTTTATTGTGTCACTGAATTGTAGTTTTATATGCTCAAATAGTTTGGCATTGGTTTTGAATGAAGACTTGTAATAAAAAAAACTGTCATAATGGATATTTTTGTTGGTCTTTATTGTGCTTTTTTGTCCTGTCACAAAACATTCCACCATTAAGTTCACACAAAAATTAATTACATTTTATTTGCATCATGTCTTTCCAAACTTCCCCTGCAGAACCCAAAATAAGACTGTTTGCGTTTGCATGCATTACAATAAACAGGGACTGAAGTTTAAAAAAAAAACATAATAAAGCTGCCATTTAAAACAGACCATAGAACTCATGCACTCTAAAGCATTGTTCAGACTGTCAGTCCAAATCTGATTCACATTAAGACTTCAGATTTCAGCACAACGATGTGTACCAACCAAGTTGAAGGGGGCATGTTTAGGCTTTTATTAAAAAATTTCAGAGCATTTTATTATGAACTATAGCCTATTGGCAAGTAATAGATTGTGAAATTCTGTAAAATTTTAATCATGTTCAAATTCGTGTATCAGTAGGCTTTAGGGCCCAAAAAGTATACGCCTATTTAATTGACTTGACCCAAATGTTCACAAATCTGGTGATGCATTAGTTTTTGAACAGCACTCTTTTTAAATATACAAATAACAATTTTGTTTGAGTGTGACTCTGATTTATAATAAAGAATAAAATCCCGCAGGACTCGTCAAAGCTGTGGAGCTTGCAGCCAGTCAAAGTGCAGCTGATGGTTTACAGCCAGCTCACAGTTTATCTCAGAGAGTCTGTGATTGTTCTGGTCTGCGCTGTCTGTGTGTGTGTGTGTGTGTGTGTGTGTGTGTGTGTGTGTGTGTGTGTGTGTGTGTGTGTGTGTGTGTCTGTGTGTCTGTGAAGGGCACGAAGCTGCCGCACGAAGCTCTCACCATACAGGATTTTAGAAAGAATGCAAAGTACTAGCGTGCGAACTTAACACAGTTTGGATGTTAGAAAGTGTACAAATACGTCACGTGCACACTTACCATAACATGGATTTTAAAATACCATTCTAAGGGGCCCTCGTGGCACTCTGAAAGAGCAGCCCATCGATGGAAATGGTGCATCCCAAAACACTATGTTTGAGAAACCTCTAAGGCGAGGGGAGCACTGCCTGAGACAGCATTACACAAGAAGGTTCTCGCAAATGCCACCTATACTTCCCGCTTGATGCCTCAGCAAGAGGGGATATCCTGATGACCAGGAAGCCCCTCAGGGCGACCTAGATACGGTGTACCAGACAGGGCAGCCTGAAAGCATAAGCCCAGCCCGGACGTCCAGGAAATTTTGCAGTGCCGTGCCGGAGGCCTGATGATCAAGAAGGCTCCCGCAAAAGCCTGTGACCTGGCCACATGATCCAGGAAGCATGAAGCCGAAAACAGGCTATCATACCGGCTGGACACCATATCAATGAGTGAAGTAAACACTGCAAGTCGAGCACCCGGTTTCTGAATCCAACAGAGGGGGGTGCTCACAGAGGACCTACCATAGCAAAAGAACAGAAACACACAGGTCCCGGAAAACACTGAAAAGAAAGCTAGCAGATGGATTATGCACACAACCACCAGCGCATTAAATATATATATTATATATACTGTATATATATTAGAAATGGATCGTACTCACCCACCATGGTTCCTGCACAGGAGCCCCGTTCAAGAAGCGACCCGAGGAAGCCTCTAGTTCGGACCATCAGTAAGGTGGTCACTATGAAGCCATAGAACCAACCAAACAGGGAGTCTTAAGAGCGGATGTCTCACCATAGAGAGATAGCTAGCCAGCGTCTCTTCTACGGGGGGCATCTTCTCATAGCCGTTTCCGCGCATCGCCTCGATGTTGGCATAACTCGTATACTGGAATCGATGGATGCGTGAGGAAAATGGCCTCTTCCATTCCTTCTCGAACTGTGTGGAGATCAGGAAGAAAGGAAGGCTCACCTGAGCTGGAGGGTTACGACCAGAAAGATAACGTTCATCGAGACGACCTTGCAATGTCACTTTCTTTGCCCGCTTCCATGGCAAGTCAAGCCACGCCATGGCGCGATTCATAACTTCCAAAACTCATCATACACAGGGCAGGAGGATTGGGAAGGCTCAGCCTCAGCTTCTTTGCCCTCCTCAGACGTCTCCTGCTCTTCCTGGGTTGAACTCAGCAGAGCACTGGCCCCTGGATCAGACAATGTTAAATGAAAAAACATTAAGCTTCAGCGGCTCACTCTCGTCCACAGCCGAGGAGCGCAAGGGGGAAAGCCCCTCTTTAAACTCATCGGCCAGATCCACCTGCGATCCCCACGAGCTCATTCTCCTCCGTGCCTCAGCAGCGGCGGGGCTTGAACCGCGGGGGGCCGGTGGGTGCCCCTCCTTCTCTCCACGAGCTCATTCTCCTCCGTGCCTCAGCAGCGGCAGGACCCGAATCGCGGGAAGCAGATGGCTGCCCGTCTTTCCTCGAAAATAGGGACAAACGAGAGCGGAGCTTTTTCATTGGAAAACGCTCGCAGTGAACGCAGATTGCCCCCTCGAGGACATTGCGTGCGTACTCCTCGCCCAAACAAAAAACGCAGAGATCGCGTGTGTCATCAGATGTCAAATAACGATGATATGGATGCACATATCCTCTAAACACCGTGCTAGTGCTCGCCATAATGAAGGAATAAAGATCGAGCTCTTACCACGGAAATGCACGCTTCAAACAAAACGGTCAGGGAAGACGACGAAGAGGATGATGTGTTCTCCCGGTGCTTATTTATACTATAGTCGCACTGGTAGTGACGTCATGGCTGTCGCCGGCCAACATGTTGTTGGTGTTTTTTCAATGTATGCTTCAGACACGGGTCACGACGAGGCATTCCCCATAGCAACCCCTAGAGGACGCAGTTCGAAGTTCCCTAGAAAGGGAACTGCTGTTATTATATATGTTATTGTACTATATTTCAATTGATTATAACATTGCATATTATAATGTAATCTTTTTTACATTTACAAATTTAAACTAGCAGTTGTGTAAATCAGCGCAGTTCTGCTGATCAGCCCATCAGTTAGAATGAGATTCTCGAGTCTGTTTTCATTTGGCAGTGCGCTGTAAACACCACAGGGTATATATATTTTATTTTAGTTTTTACATACAAAACTTTGTAGTTACAGTGCTTTTCTAGCTTTTGAGTTAAAATTTTTTTGACATGTTATTGGCTTTTGATCAACCCGTTCTGCTTACCTCAGATCATTTCTGGTTGAAAATACTTTTTGCAAAAACATGCTTTATTCTAAAGCTCCGGGGTTCATTCACTGGAATATGGGTTTACTGAAAGAGGACCTGTTGCACAATTGGTTTTGATAAGTGTGATGTCAGCAGTGGAGTTCTTTAAAAGAGAAAGTCCTGCCAAATTACGCACAAACACTATCAACAGACGGACAAGCCAGTTTCTTTAAGAAACATCTGCGGTCTTACTGTTTATATACTTATGCATTGATCACTTGGTTGGAAATTTCCCAACAATGAAATTCACCGCAGCAGCCTTTGTTTTTCTGACATGCATGACACTGCTGTTCACAACAGAAGGTAAGCAGAGTCATTTGACAATATCCGTTGCTTGTGATAATATTTTATTATGTCTTTATTGTTTATTAAAAGTTTTAAAATGTTAGTACGTGTTGAATAAATATTGTAAGAGCTTACAAAGATACTAATGCTCTTCTTTCTATCTTGTTATATTGTCACCTCAGCCAGACTACAGCTACGCTGCCCGTGTATTAAAATGTATTCGGGAAAACCAATTAACCCTAAACTAATACAGAAAGTACAAATGATTCCTGCCGGAGCACAGTGCAAAAACGTGGCGATCATGTGAGTGCGACAAAGCAAAGATCAATGCAATGCACAAGTCTGAATGCATGGTGGAGTCAAATTACAAATGTGACTTTGATGACCAGAAAGTGCCCAACACACTTTTCTTTGTCTTCCACAGTGCCACTCTGAAAAATGGGCAGACGTGCCTCAATCCCAGAGATGAATGGGTGAAAAAGATCATCAAAGGATAATTTCCCATCTGTGTTTGCATGCAGAAGTTTATGGTTTTTCTTACTGTATGTTGTAGCACAAATTTTCTTCTGCATATTTCTGCAGACCTGTGAAATGCATTGGTTAAATGCAAATATAATTGTATAATCCTCACTGCAAAACTTTTTGGATGCAGGTGACTTGCTCATTAGAGAAACATGTTCTGATGAAGCAAATAAAAAATTTGCATGGCAGAAAATGTCTTGTCATTTAGGCTGAAAGCAACATTTCTGACTAACACTTTGCATGAATATGGAACATTTTGTAATGTAGAAAATATATATATATAAAATAAAGTTTTTTTGTTGTTGTTTTTCGACAATCTTCTGTTGTTGTTTGTTTTTTTGTCCACTTCACTAAATACGACCTGTTTTATATATTATTATATTCAAAATACTTTAAATTATGTTATTTTAGATTTAGATTTTATAATAAATCTCAGAAAATTGCATTAAAAATTAATAAAATATGGGTTCAGTGACATGAGTAAATGATCACACTGTTTATTCTGTGGTAAACTATTGCTTAAATGTGTTTAAAAAAAAGTTTGTGAGATTATTTGCTGTCTGGGAAAATGGTGATTTCATAACACATAATAAATGATACAAGATGCTTTTTTACTTCCACTGATCTTCTCTCTGAAGCGCTTAATGTAGCTCTGCACCAGTAGGTTTCACATCAAATGCTTATCTCCTGCATGGAAGTCATAGCAGTTACCTGTGTTGTAACTTGTCATGAGGTTTTTTTTTTTATTAACTCGTTTGTCTTCATGCATTATGCCTCTAAACTGATGCTGAGCTCTTCCTTCGTATATATTTTGGCAGATGTATCATTCCTGATAGCATAATTCACTCAACATGTGTGCTTCTCTGATGTGCTGTAGTAAGACTTCTACTCTGTTCAGTCTCACAGTGCGCAGCAGAATTAATTATTAGACCATTTTAGGAATTTTTCTTAAGAACTAATTGCAACACATATAGCACAATTTCTTAACTGTTGGGTAGTGACCAAAAATGGATGAAATAATTAAATGCAACTACTGTTCAATTAAGTATACAGTTAGGACAGCAAAATAAAGTGGGATATATATTATTATAGAATAAGTTTATAAAAGGGAGAAAAAACACTTCATTTTGTTATTGGTATTCAGTCAACAGTATTTTGTTGCAAATTCTTCTGTCTCTTCTATAAACTATTGTGCATTGAAAAATTATGGTGACACTTAGTACAAAGAAACAGCAAATAACACATTAAATACTTAAAGCAGTCTGTGGAAGAACAATAAACTCACTGTGACATTCGATATTGACCCTCCTCTTGTTCAGATCAGATGAGATTCTTGTGAAACTTGTTCTGTGTATTTCCCAGTTCTTTAACCTTTTATGTTAATACAAATATTTGCACATGTTAAGACATTTGCTGTAATACTGTAAAAGCATCTGAATGTGAAAGGCTCTTTCTTACTTTTTTTTTTGTTCAGTATCAGTATATGACAGACAGACAGACAGACAGACAGACAGACAGATAGACAGACAGACAGACAGACAGACAGACAGACAGATAGATAGATAGACAGACAGACAGACAGACAGACAGATAGATAGATAGATAGATAGATAGATAGATAGATAGATTTTTTTATATGCCATATATCAATATGATTACATGATAGATAGACAGACAGACAGACAGACATAACAATAGATAGATAGATAGATAGATAGATAGATAGATAGATAGATAGATAGATAGATAGATAGATAGATAGACAGACAGACAGACAGACAGACAGACATAACAATAGATAGATAGATAGATAGATAGATAGATAGATAGATAGATAGATAGATAGATAGATAGACAGACAGACAGACAGACAGACAGACAGACAGACAGACAGAACAATAGATAGATAGATAGATAGATAGATAGATAGATAGATGATAGATAGATAGACTTAATCAGTATCAGTGTATGATTAGTTTTTGTTGCTTGTTTGTAAGTGTCATTGAATAAAAGAGTCTGCTAAAAGCTTAAATGTAATGTAGGCTAGATGCTTATAAATATGAATTATACAAAGAGCAAGTGTTAATATAAATATTAGGTTATAACCAGATGGTAAATTGATTAACATTTATGACATGATTTATGTTAACATGTATTAACATTATTATTTATATCCATATTAATTCATTAATAATATGAATATATAATTTTACATTTTACATTTTATAATGGACAATTCATTGATTGATCTTCCATTTAATGTTTGGGCTATACAATTTTTCCTCCTGTGGTAAGCAGTCAAATGCAAATCATGAACTTGACGTATAATTGTTTGGTAAAAACAGTCTGGGACTCCAGGGGTATTTTGAACGTGGTAACCTGGCTGAACATGAGATGCATCCAGATGACCCACGGCTGATGAACATGTGAACAGATCCAAACCACATATTTACACATGAGCCTTCACACGCACACGAATAGACATAAACACACACACAACGATAGGGGAAGTGAAATAAAATCAGTACTTTGTGGATCACGAGGCCCTTGAAATCATAATATATAAGACCATGCAGCAGCCCAAATAGCAGCATATTATCTTCAGAGTTTCTACACAGAAATCAACTGCAGAAGCTTCTCCATCATGAACGCCTTCCTGATGTTAACCGTAATTGGAGCCAGCATCGTTCTGTCCGATGGTAAGCTTCATCTTCAGTATTTGTTTATCATCCCTGCTGAAAACAAAACAATAGAAACCATCACAGAATTTGTAATGGTTTTAATGGTTATAATGGGAATTGTACTGGTTTTAATGGTAACTGTAATGGTGTCTGTGGGTCTCTACTGGTAATTGGTCGCCTTCCATTGGTGGCTTGTTAAAACCACTAAATCCTAATGGAATATGTCCCAACACACACTACAGAAAACCTTTATTTTAATGGTTAAAAACTGATGGTTTGGAATGTTTGTAATGGTATTTGCAGTGGAAACCATTAGATGGTTTCTAATGTTTTTCTTTTCAGCAGGGGCATTTAAATTAAATCACTAATTAGCTAGTTTGTTGATGGTCTACCAGGTCGAAACCAGATCCACTGGCAATAGAAACCTTGTAAAGTTTCTCCAGCAGGACAAATATTGAATGATATTTCTAAAAAATACTCTCGACTCTATTATTATTTCAACAAAGTGCCTATAAGCGACTGTATGTATTTTCCCCGACGGTTGAGTGGGATTTGCTGTCGTAAATACATGGGATGGCTGTATACATGAATTTGTTGCTGACGTAAAGCAATCCACGCTTTTTGCGTTTCGTACCCGCTCACCCGAGTGGGTAGTGATGGGAGAAACCAAGGTTTTTTAATCAGTTAGATTCCGATAGTTTCACTGTGCTGGTCAAAACATTGTAAATGCAACAAAAACTATTAACTACTATGCTTTCTTTTTTATTATACAAATGTGTCATTAAAGTTGTCGACAAATTTAAAAGCAAATATTGACCCGAGATAAGGTTAAAAAACAGACTTTAAGTACTGGATTCACAAAGAGTGTCCACTAGCGATTGAAACCGCAATGTTTCAAAGCTTCATGAAGCAGTGCTTCTAAAGCGACCGTCACTACAGTGATTTTGAAACTGATATTTCCAGTGTTTGGGGTAATGCATTACAAGTAACGTGAGTTACGTAATCAGATTACTTTTTTTAAGTGACTAGTAAAGTAACGCATTACTTTTTAATTTAGAAGGAAATATCTGAGTTACTTTTTCAAATTAGTAACACTAGTTACTTTGTCTCCCATGTATTGACTGACAGCTCTCGTGTTGGGATGTTGAGAGAAATCAGGAGTAAGTGCAGGGCGTTGTGAGCGCTGCATGAACGTGATGCTTACTGTAGTTCTAGACTAAATATGAACATGTATTTACTCATATTACCTGAAAAAAAACAGATTCAGTGATCCTCAAAATGAATAAAAACAGTCAGATGCAAACTCAGAATATTGTACAAATAATTAAATATGTTAAATAAAACAAATATAATTTATGTATTTAATGCGATTTTATTAACCAATCAAATTAATGCTTCATATTCTTCATGCAATTTGTTTGAGCTGTGCCCTATGGAAGCCCGTTTTCGCCACTGACTAAAAAAATATAAAAGGCAATTGCGAATTTTTATCTCACAATTCTGACTTTTTTTTCACAGATATGAGTTTACATCTTACAATTCTTAATTTTAATTTTTTTACAATTGTGAGTTTACATCTCGCAATTCTTAATTTTTTTTCACAGTCGTGAGTTTGCATCTCAATTCTTAATAAATTTTTTTATTATTATTATTATTAATGTTGAAAGGCATTGTGCTGCGTAATTTTCAGGATGTTTCGATGAATAGGAAGTTCAAAAGAACAGCGTTTATCTGAAATAGAACTCTTTTGTGACATTGAAAAAAATGACTTTACTTTTTACTTTTGAACAATTTAATGCAGCCTTGCTGAGTAAACATTCATTACTTTTTATTGACCCCCAAACGTAACATAAATATAATTCTTTTTTAAATCTTTTCAGTGCTGGTTTATCGAGTGGAGAGAGCATCTGTCTGAACCCCGGGACACCATGGGTTAAAAAACTCATTCTCTTCATCGAGAGAAAGGAGCGAGAGACCAAGAAAGAGTAGAAGACGTTTATGTTGTAACCTTTTGATTTTCACTACTCGAGAGACGCACTAGAAGAGTTTATAGCACTTGTATGCTAGTTTGCCATCTCTGACATCTTTTTGGTTCCCGCAGAATAAGATTTCTGTTTGTTTGTCTTGTATTCTGAGCCTCTCATTTTGATTAATATGTGTTTGTCCTGACAATCATTTCAAGATGAACCAAAATGATGTGTCTGCCACACTACACACCGACTTATACGCTGATTGATTAACTGTTTTAATTTTATACTGATACAATCAAAGTTTTTGGTGTTGCAATTGCCGTTTCACTGAAAAAAAAAGTGTGGAATGTATGGAGGATGTTTTTTTAATAAATCTTTTCTTTAAAAAAAAAATCCATTCGTCCTTTGAGTAAATTATACACTTTCTCAAGAAAATGAGAAAATGTTCCCCAGCAGGTTTTCTTGCATATTACATTTCACAGCTTATGATTTCAGTCCAGATGCGATCACTTCATCACAAGCCTCATTCATTAGAAACTCACATGCCGTCTTTTTTTTTTATTTTATTCATTGCTCATGAGAAAGTAGTGCTCGTCATTTTGACTCACAGAAGCAGGACGCAGCCAATTTTCACTTGTTACCAGTCTGATTGCATTTGTGTGTAAAGATAAAAGATCATTCAACAGATTTGCATGCTTCATCCTTCACAAAACCGCCACCACAGCTTCCCAATCACAAAAACATGTGTCTAAAATTAGATACGCTTTATGTCAGCATTCTGTTTTATGTTTACATTCGTATATATTAGAAGACAGATATTGTTGGCAGGAGCTTCTCGTCTGATGAGACTCATTTTAGGTATGGGGGTTTGTGTCCTCCAAACAATCAAAGACATGAAAACTCCCTTTGTCACATGCAGACACTGGGATTCCTCAATAAAGACACCCTGGACCACAAAACCTGTCATAAGGGTCAATTTTGTGAAATTGAGATGTATACATCATTTGAAAGCTGAATAAATAGCTTTCCATTGATGTATGGTTTGTTAAGATAGGACAATATTTGGTCGAGATACAACTATTTGAAAATCTGGAATCTGAGGGTGCAAAAAAACCTAAATATTGAGAAAATCATCTTTAAAGTTGTCCAAATGAAGTTCTCAGCAATGCATATTTCTAATCATAAATTAAGTTTTGATATATTTACGGTAGGAGATTTACAAAATATCTTCATGGAACATGATCTTTACCTAATATCATAAAATATCATAAAAAGAAAAATCTATAATTTTGACCCATACAATGTATTTTTGTCTCGTCTGGAATTTTTATGAGGGTTTGCACTATAATGCATTGATGCAACTTCATTGTGATTATGAATCACTTACGTTGTAGGCTGTACTCCTGTCTTGTAAATTCCTTTGGATCATAAAAGCGTCTGGTTAACAATGCATGAAAATAATGTGGAACTCATTACAGAAACTATATAGATAACAAAGTACAGGTATAGTAAAATAACATGGAAAATGCTATATATATATAAAACACGTAAGCACATAAAACATCAACACAACAAATCATTTGTTGCTATTTGTCCACAGGTAAAAGTGGACATGCATGATTTAATGACCGGAAAACAACAAATGTCGGCTTTTGGAAACTAAATTTGTTCCAACAGATGCATAATTTGGTAAATACCTGTAAAAGATCAATAAGACATGCATGTTCATTTGCTGTGTAATGATCATTTTAAACATTTTAACAATAATCCACAAGCAGATGTTCAGAAACAAATAAATAGCACAAAAATAAAGGTATATGGGTTATACTATATAAAAGCATATTGAATTTATTGACAATTTATTGTTTTAATCATGCTGTCAAACGATTAATCGCGATTAATCGCATACAAAATAAAAGTTTTTGTTTGCATAATATATGTGTGTTCTGTATATATTTATTATGTATATATAAATACACACACATACATTATATATTTAACATACATAACATACATCTCTATATTTATATTCATATAATTTATATTATAAATAAATATATTTAATATAGAAAATAAAAAATTTCTGAAATATATACATGCATGTGTGTGTATTTATATATACATAATAAATATATACAGAACACACATATATTATGCAAACAAAAACTTTTATTTTGTATGCGATTAATCGCGATTAATCGTTTGACAGCACTAGTTTTAAGTCATTTTTTAAAATGCAGCTGTTTTCTTTAATTTCTTTTTTTTTAGTCTTTTTATGAATGAAAATCATCTAATTCTGTAATTATAAGTATATAAGCTTTATTTGTCTTCTTCTATTATTAATCCAAATTGTACACAATCCCAAAAGTTACAGTAACAGCGACAGCGTGGTAGTTGCGTCATCACAAAGCGCCAGAGTAGCGCGAGCGGAAGCGAGGTGCTGTGCGTGTGTGGTTTGCAAGTTTTATGAAAGGTTTTGGACATTTAGATGTTTATATATCTGAGGTATTTCAGTTATGCCTTGCTTCCTCTTTCAGTTGGGCGGAGGTGCTCTTTAGCAGCGTAGCGTCAAGCTTACTTTCACTTTGTCCTCGTTTCATCCTGCATTTCTATTCGAAACATTTTGATGTGACTGTCGGTGCTGTGTGGGGAATATACATTCATCCCACTTTAGACATTAAACCAAATGGAAGAAGAGAGCTGTTGTGCAGACGATTTATTGGAGTTCCTGCGCATCGATGTGGCGCTCGAGCCCTTGTGTGACAGACAGCAGACCACGTGCTCTGTAAGGCGACACTGAGTCATAATAATAATAATAATAATAATAATACTGAGATAAATACATCTCCTGTGCATCACCCGTTTTAATGCTTCTGCAGAAGAATGTCATGCGCAAGCAGCGCAACTGGGAGAGGAGGCTGGAGGCGAAGAGAAGCAAAAGAAAAGAGGAGAAACAAAGATTTTAAGCCTATTTATGAATGAAAATCATCTAATTCTGTCATTATAAGTATATAAGCTTTATTTGTCTTCTTCCATTATTAATCCAAATTGTACACAATCCCAAAAGTTACAGTAACAGCGACAGCGTGGTAGTTGCGTCATCACAAAGCGCCAGAGTAGCGCGAGCGGAAGCGAGGTGCTGTGTGTGTGTGGTTTGCAAGTTTTATGAAAGGTTTTGGACATTTAGATGTTTATATATCTGAGGTATTTCAGTTATGCCTTGCTTCCTCTTTCAGTTGGGCGGAGGTGCTCTTTAGCAGCATAGCGTCAAGCTTACTTTCACTTTGTCCTCGTTTCATCCTGCATTTCTATTCGAAACATTTTGATGTGACTGTCGGTGCTGTGTGGGGAATATACATTCATCCCACTTTAGACATTAAACCAAATGGAAGAAGAGAGCTGTTGTTGTGCAGACGATTTATTGGAGTTCCTGCGCATCGATGTGGCGCTCGAGCCCTTGTGTGACAGACAGCAGACCACGTGCTCTGTAAGGCGACACTGAGTCATAATAATAATAATAATACTGAGATAAATACATCTCCTGTGCATCACCCGTTTTAATGCTTCTGCAGAAGAATGTCATGCGCAAGCAGCGCAACTGGGAGAGGAGGCTGGAGGCGAAGAGAAGCAAAAGAAAAGAGGAGAAACAAAGAAAGAAGCTCAACAAACTAAATAAAGGTGATTGGGTTTTAATACAGCACGTTACCTCACAATCTTACTGTGTGAAGTACATTTTCATGTCCCATTCATACATGCCTATATGGACTATCTTGGTTTTAAAAATTAAAATTACATTTTAAATTGTATGGAATTCATGGTCACTTAAATATATATACATATACGTTTTATATTTATATAACGCGAACAGCATTATACATATTGTTCTTTTAAACATCCTGTTAAACGGAGAAAGGCAGCTATATGTTTTAATGCATAAACACTCATTTATGCTGTAAAAAATTAGCCTTGTTTCTCTTCTGAACCATTAGAGTGCTGTTAGATGTAGTTTGGAGTATTACAACAATTAGTGCTGTCAAACGATTAATCGCATCCAAAATCAACGTTTTTGTTTACGTAATATGTGTGTCTATGGTGTATATTTATTATGTATATATAAATACACACACACACACGGTATATATTTAGAAAATGTTTACATTTATATACATTTGCATATTTATATTCCTATATTATATATAAATCTATTTAATATATGAACATACCCTATTTTTCTTAAATATATACATGCTTGTGTTTATATATACATAATAAATATGCACAGTAGAGCCCGGCCGATATTATCGGCCGATATGAGCCTGTCGGCGATATATCGGTATCTGCGAATATGCCGCCGATATTAATATTTTTTTTTTACAGAGCATATAACGCAGATTAAATGCTTCTGAATGGTGTAATTACTTAGTTTGTCCAGCAGAGCGCACGCCATTGTTTGCTACCGGCGACCCAGGCCAGTGTAATGTAGAGATGAACGGATGAGCTCAAACTTCACCCCAGTCCGCTGCTTCAGATTATCCGCCTGCCACCCACCGGCACCTATATTTGATCGTCACATTACAACGATTCCAATTCTTAGTTTTGCATGATGATGTGATAAATGGATGGATCATTTTTAACAGCAGATTCAGTGACGTTAGTGACTAGAGCTGATCTGCGCATCACGGCACGCCTCTGCGGCGCATTAAAGCCTGTGTTACGGCCACCGGAGCTGATCGCGGCTGGACGCCGCGGCCCAGAGCTCATGCTTATCACATCGGTCACATCACATTGCGCGGCACGCGTCCGGTGTAAAATAGAACCCATTATAATCAGTGATGTTGCATCGTTCTATTTATGACAATGAGCTTATCATATTCGTTTGCTACATTAGTAGGGCCCTATGATTTCCGAGATACAGAAAACATGGACGGAATCGTGTTAATCGTGGGGGAAGTCATGGCCTAATGGTTAGAGGACTCGTAACCCAAAGGCTGTGGGTTTGAGTCTCGTACCGGCAGGGATTGTAGGTGGGGGAGTGAATGTATAGCACTCTCTCCCACCTTCAATACCACGACTGAGGTGTCCTTGAGCAAGGCACCGAACCCCCAACTGCTCCCCGGGCGCCGCAGCATAAATGGCTGCCCACTGCTCCGGGTGTGTGTGTGTTCACTGCTGTGTGTGTGCACTTTGGATGGGTAAATGCAGAGCACTAATTCCACTAAAGCCACATGTCATGTCACGTCACTTTTTTTTTTTCTTTTTTTTTTTTTAATACAGTCATAAAAACGGAATTTACTGTATAACACGAAATTTCATGGAATTTGTCTTATTTTTGATGAATAAATAAAAAAAGGTCAGTACATATATATATATTTATTTATTCATCAAAAATAAGACAAATATATATAGTCATTGACTGTGTCTGTGAATATTAAACTGCAAAAAGACGATTTAAATATGAATGTTCTGCATGTTCATTGGATTACCAAAAAATAAACAACACAGTTTGTGAAAAAAATATATTATTAATTATTATTATTTATTCATTTTAGATGTTAACATTTGGAAAAGCTGTGCTTCCTGCATAAACCTGCCCCTGTTGGTTTGGCAGTAGCTTGCTTGCCCTACACAGTTACCTTGTTTAATTTCTTAATTCAAGTTATATATATTTTGTTCTATTTGTGTTAAGTTATTTATAATAAGTGAAGTGAAATTTACTGTTAAGTGCACTGATGTCAGCCTCATTTTGAATAATAAAGTTTATTGTTAAATTGTTAAATACCCTGCCTCCACTACATAGGCCTATGTTTGTCACATTTTTGATCACCACATTTGAGTTATCATTGCAAAAAATGTGTTTATGTATATATATTCTGTTTATGTAGGCTATATACTGTATTCTATATACAGTACCAGTCAAACTTTTGACTATACTGTACTATAATATAGCGTGCACATAAAGAATATCGGCCGATATATCGATATCGGTCTTTTTTTTACTCCCTAATATCGGTATCGCATTGGCCCCCAAAAAACCCATATCGGTCGGGCTCTACACAGTATACACACATACATTATGTAAAGAAAAACTTTAAATTTTGGATGCGATTAATTGCTTGACAGCACTAAACTTTTATTCATCAAGGATGCATTAAATTGATCAAAAGTGGCAGGTAAGTCATGTTAATGTTATAAAAGATTTCCATTTCAAATAAATGCTTTTCTTTTGAACTTGCTATTCATCAAAGAATCCTGGGAGAAAAAAAACATGTATCATGGTTTCCACACAAAAAAAACTGTTTTCAACATTGATAATAATCAGAAATGTGTCTTAAGCAGCAAATCAGCATATTAGAATGATTTCTGAAGATCATGTGACACTGAAGACTGGAGTAATGATGCTGGAAATACAGCTTTGATCATAGAAATAAATTACTTTTTTTTTTATGTATTTAATTTGTAATATTATTTTTATTTAAATTGTAATAATATTTCACTCTTTTTTGATGAAGTAAATGCACCCTTGGTGAGCAGAAGAGCCTCTCAGAAACTTCCAAGTGACCCCAAACGTTTGAACAGTAGTGTATATTCTATTGCATACGGGAATTCCTAACGGATTAGATGTTTATCTTGCAGATGTGAATGAGCTGCAGCTCAGTAAACGTGTCATTAAAGCGATTACCAAAGAGAGACTGGAGGAGGCCAGAGGAGCAGGACCTGGCCTGTGTGTTGATCTCAGCATGACTGACTGTCTGTCTGCCAAAGTGAGATTTACTAAACAAACACCATGGTCTGGCAGGTTGATACCTGACCCTGATTGCTTGATAAGGAGAGTGAGATTTTTATTTTGTCATAATTTTTTTTTCTCACAGGAAATCAGCCGCCTTGCATGTCAGATCAGGCGCCTCTACGGATGCAACAAGAAAGCCTTGCAGCCATTCCGCATATTTCTGACGGAGTTAAAAAAGGACAGTTTGCTGTATAAAGAATGTGTTCGGATGAATGACGGCTTCCTGAATTATTTGGTTAGTCTACTCTTAATTTGAAAACCTTCAATAGTAGAAGCAGAATCGTAGAAATGATGTACAGTAAACGAGTTTTGTTATTGTGTCTCTGAATCCCACAGATTGATGTGACTGAGGAGAGCTGGTTTCATCTGTTTCCCTCTGAAGATGTGATATATTTAACCCCGGACGCAAGTGAAGGTTCATGTCGCGCATATTAGTTAAAAGTCAACAAAACATGAAATCAAAATTTACCCTATTTACTTTTTTTAAGTGCACGGTCCTGGTTTTATTGTGTATGATTCATTGGCGCACACTTTCAAATGGTGAAAATGTTTGTCTTTGTGGCATTTTTTTATCAAAATTCTATATAAACAATGTAATATGAAACAACTTTATATATTATTATAGTATTTCTTAAGATTTTTAATCGCTTTTATTTTTATATATTTTTATTTAGCACGTCAACTTAACCTTTTTTATTTGTCTTTTTTTAAAGGAACACTCCGCTATTTAGGTTCAATAGGTTCATTTTCCAACTCCCCTAGAGTTAAACAGTTGAGTTTTACCGTTTTCTAATCCATTCAGCCGATCTCCGGGTCTGGCGGTAGCACTTTTAGCTTATCTTAGCATAGATCATTGAATCTGATTAGACCGTTAGCATCTCGCTCAAAAATGACCAATATATATAATGATATTACGCAGCGCCTGAAAATAGTCCCCAGCACGCTCCCTGTGCAAGCAGGTGGTCACGTTGATTATGTTGACGGAAGTTAGCCTATTTTCAGGCACTGCGTAATATCATTGCGCCTGCGGCACCCATGGTATAGTATCAAGTTCCTTGATTATTACGCTGGAATGAGAGTATAGTTCATAGCCATATCGGCCTAGAAAATCACAACTTTTCATTTTCCGTCGGTCTTAGTACACGATGTAACTAACTACAGAAGAGTCAAGTTTTAAATAGGAAAAATATCGAAACTCTTTGGTCATTTTTGAGCGAGATGCTAACGGTCTAATCAGATTCAATGATCTATGCTAAGCTACAGCTAAAAGTGCTACCGCCAAACCCGGAGATCGGCTGAATGGATTCGAAAACGGTAAAACTCAACTGTTTAACTCTAGGGGAGATGGAAAATGAGCCTATTTTCAAAAGTAGTGGAGTGTTCTTTTAAGTGTTAGTTTTTCATCTGTTATTTATGTTTTATTTCAGCTTTGATTCAATTACAGAAAACAATTTTTAATAGTTTTAATTTTAGTTAACAATAACACTGCCTTAAGCAACATCTGTGTCATTTTTCCACATTGAATATTGTATTCCAATCATAAATGAGTCAGATGCGAAAGTAAAATTGTCTGAGTGGGATATTAAGGTTAAGTCGTAAAGTCAAGATAAAATTAGTAAGTAACTTACAATACCTTATTTCTTTCGTTTCAGTTCTACGTAAATATTTATTTTGTTTCCCTGTTAGCTTTAGAGTACGTGGAGGAAGATAAAGTCTACATCCTCGGAGGTTTAGTGGATGAAACCATACAAAAGGTGAGACTCATACTTGTTCATATTGTCATTTATAAAAGGTACATTAATGAGAGATTTTATTGTGAAGAAACAGCTAAACTAAACATGATCTCATGCTGTATTCTTTAAGAAAATAAGCTACACGAGGGCGAAAGAGCTCGACGTTCGCACGGCGCGGCTGCCGATTGACGAGTACATGGTGAAGAGACCAAACCCCAAAAACTTCCACTCTAAAATCCTAGCCATTAACCAAGGTGATCACATTCTCTGACTCCGCTTTTACATACTGCCATCATAATCCCGTAGTGTATAATTAGCATGTGCTGATGTGTTCCAGTGTTTGAAATCCTTCTGACATTTCGGGGCACAAAAGACTGGACTAAAGCGCTTGCTGCGGGAATACCTCCAGGAAAAGGTTACATGGTGGTTTCAGCGGCATCTACAGACATAAACACTCCAGAAGAGCTGTAGACACACATAGGCTTTGGTTTCATAGAGTTTATAAGGCCTCGAGCCTATAATAGTGTTATGAACTCATTTATATATTAGACGACTTTGTTTGACTGAAGTAACGTGAATTAATAATATTCAAAATACTTGACTGCATCTTTTGTATCACGTTTCTTTTATGTTGAAATGCTCTAATTCGGTTGTCTCAGGGATGGTTTTGCACAAACGGTCTAAATACTGAGCTGATGGATATTTTGTCAGCATTAAAGCCACTGGTTAAAACTGATATATGCAAAGATCACATTACAAGCGATAGACTACGTCTGTGTTTGTTAATCTTTGTGTCAAACAGAGGCAGTTAGATTGTCTTTCACTGTATACATTGTTTAATCTAATGCATTGGGAACAGAGCATGTGAGCGAAGCGGAGCGGTGTGACGCTCCGCTACGTTTTCCGCTCTATGGACGTGCGCTCCACTCAGTCGCTCTAACCGCACAAGCAAGCGCTCCGTTAATATTTTGCTCACGCTCAACGTGAACCAATTCCCGCTCAGATCCCGCTGTGTCTAAATACTGAGCTGATGGATATTTTGTCAGCATTAAAGCCACTGGTTAAAACTGATATATGCAAAGATCACATTACAAGCGATAGACTACGTCTGAGTTTGTTAATCTTTGTGTCAAACAGAGGCAGTTAGATTGTCTTTCACTGTTTAATCTAATGCATTGGGAACAGTACATTGGGCCTTTATCTCTGTAATAATAACCAATCTCGACTAAAAATGCATTTTGGTTAAGTAGTTGAGCATCAGCGCGACCTATTGGCTGATGTTTGTAACTGCATAATGTATAGCCTTCACCAAATCCCACTGAAGAATGCATATATGAAAGAATAGTCCAAATTTGCTGAGAATGTACTCTCCCTCAGGCCATCCAAGATGTAGACGAGTTTGTTTCTTCATCAGATTTTGAGAAATGTAGCATTATATCACTTGCTCAGCAATGGATGTTCTGCAGTGAATGGGTGCCGTCAGAATGAGAGTCCAAACAGCTGATAAAAACATCACAATAATCCACAGCACTCCAGTCCATCAGTTAATGTCTTGTGAAGTGAAAATCTATGTTTGTAAGAAAATTATAAGATGAAAAAAAAAGATGTTAACACAAATTTTCTATAATAAACAATTTGAACACCTGGACTCTTATAATCCTTCAAAATGCCATTTTGTAAAATATACTGTGATTTAAAGGGATCCTATTATGCTTTTTCAACTTTAGTTAGGCTGTCATGTTGCTGTTTGAGCATAAAAAAGATCTGCAGAGTTCAAAGCTCAAAGTCCACTTCAAAAGGAGATATTTTATTTAACAGAAATCACTTTTCAAAAACTACAACGAACGACTCGTTTGGACTACAACGCATATTTTCCGGCATTTGTGATATCACAAATACAGACGAATGGGACGAGACCTGGTTGAGCTGCACTAGAGAAGGCGTGACAATACATTCATTATTATATGTTTAAGCACATTTTAACTGAATCAAATGTTATTTCGTTCAATAAAGCATGTCAAACATAAACTAAAGTTGCAAATAATGCCATTACCCACAATCCTCCTCGGTGTCAGCCTTCCTTGTCATGTGTGAGTTAAACCAAGTACGTTAAGGTTAATACAGCTACGTTTGAAAAGTGTAATGCATATTAGTATATCTGAGTTGTAGAGGAAACCGCGTATAAATGTTTTATGCATGTAGTGGTGCTTCAGATAACTAAGTCCTGTCATGCAACTCGACTTCAAGCATCGTTCCCGGATGGAAAATAAGCCTGCAGTTGCATATTTCAACCACTAGGTATTTCGTCTACTGTATAAAATAAATTCATTATATAGAGAAGAGTCTTGTGTGTGTGTGTGTGTGAGTGTGTGTGTGTGTGTGTGTGTGTGTGGGGGTGAGAGAGAGAGAGAGTGTGTGTGTGTGTGTGTGTGTGTGTGTGTGTGTGTGTGTGTGTGTGTGTGTATATATTTATTTCTATTTCTTTTTTTCTTTTTTTTATTTATGGCCAGGGATCACAATGTAAATGTGATCTAAAATTAATTTTTTTATTTATTTATTTACTTATCTATTTATTTATGGCCTTGGATATCCAGGGATCAAAATATTAATGTGATCTAAAATGTATTTATTTGTTTGTTTGTTTGTTGATGGCTTGGGATATCCAGAGATCAGAATCTAAATGTGATCTAAATGACAGATGTCTGGTTTAATCTTTTAATAAATACAGAGAGCATGATCGTGCTTGTATGATGATGATAGTTATTATGATCTGGGGTTTGAGGACTTATGGGTCAGTTGACAGATATAACGTATGACTCTTGGTAATAAGCTCTTATGCCCGCATATGTTTTACATTTCATGCCAGACAGACTGAGGATATATGATGGATATATGAACTGCAGCAGACTTTTTACACGGATTAAACATTTATTTTGTGCTTAGGCTTCATACCTCTATTCAATTCAATTCAATTCAATTCGTGCTTTATTGGCATGACAATTGTTACAATGTATTGCCAAAGCATAGTGTTTACATTGAATCTAGAACAGATATATATGCAACAAAAACATGTATGTATATACATTTAAAAAAGTAAAACAAATTAACATTTTAGAATCGTAGAATTCTACAAACAATTTATAATTCAGTGTGTGTGTGGTGTGGTGTGTGTGTGTGCGTGTTTGTGTGGTGTGGTGTGTGTGTGTGTGTGTGTGGGCGCATCACTGATTTGTTGACTCCTCCCTCTTTTTGTGACAGGCATCAATGTATCTTGCTGCTAGTAAGATACAATCTTGTTTTTCACCTAATAAATATTGAAGTTGTGTTTTCTTGTTTAACGTTTTAAAATCAGGGTAAAGTATTTCAAATTTGGGATAAAATATGTTTAGCCAAATTTAGCTTGCCAGTGGCATTTATCTTCAGCCCGAGGTATGTGTAGTTTGTGACATTTTCAATTTTGGTCTCACCAAGGGTGAAGTTGTCTCTCTCCCTCTCTCCCCCTCTCTCTCTCGCTCTCTCTCCCTCTCCCTCTCTCTCTCCCTCTCTCCCTCTCTCTCTCTCTCTCTCTCT